TTGTTGCACGAAATGCAGAATATGGCGGACATGATATGGCGGACATGACTCAGTATGAAGGGTCCAACATGCACCATAGGGGTACACCCTATTGTAATCTCAACATTATGTTTGTGTAATTTTTTGCACACTTTCTTGGATATATATATATATATATATATATATATAATTCATTCAGAATTTGAATAAAAGTTTTGTTTTTCATGCTGCTAAGAGAACCAACTTGGCAAACACATTGCAAAGTTTTGGGACTGACATCTGCATATAAATGGTGAATTCCTTCTCAAAATCACAATGATTGACATAGTGATAATCATAACAATGGACTGGACAAAATATCTTATGTCAAAATAGATGTGCTATTTTGCTAAAGGAGATGAAGGCTAAAGCATGCTCACTAATTTCAAAAGCACCCTCAGTGATTTGATTATGGAACCGGGCCTGATCCTCCGGGACTTGGCTCAGTTGTCATTCATTAATATTTGCACTGTCCCACCCTGCTTCACACCACAATATACAGTCCTTAACAAATTTATTAGACCACCTGTCATAATAAAGAGAGAAAACAAATTTTAGGAATCTGCCAAAAACTTGTTTAAAACTAAAATTTGTATTGTCATTTATTAGGCAAATAAATTAAACGACTAAATAGTCATTATTCACACATAATTACCAAAAAATTGTATATTTTATTTTTATTTTGTATATATTTGTATAAGATTGTATATCGACTGATTATGTCATTGAAACGCCGTAAATGAGCTCGCCAGCGATGTTTGTTTTTTCCGAAAACACGGAACCAAAAAATGTCATCAGTCCCATTAGGTCAGGGGTTGGCAAGTTCGGTCCTAGAGAGCCGCAGTCCTGCAGAGTTAAGCTCCAACCTTGAAAAAAAAAACGCACCTGCCTATAGCCTTAGTAATCCTGAAGACATTGATTAGCTTGTTCAGGTGTGTTTGATTAGGGTTGGAGCTGAACTCTGCAGGACTGCAGCTCTCTAGGACCGAACTTGCCTACCCCTGATATAAGGGCTGTAAATAGATTAAAATTTTTTATCGAATTAATCACACCCTTTTTCTGTGATTAATCGCGATCAATCGCACACTTCATGAATTTAAGCATAGACCATTTATCTTGTTTCAAATGGTAATTTTGTCATCATTTGCTATATCCAGCAAAGTAAACCAAACGATTGAAGGGTGATTCTTAAAAATCTGTATTTTCTGCAAGCTTTTTTCAAGATAAATTTAGATGTATTTCCAAAAAAGTACACATAGAAACTCCAAAAGGACACCTAAGAACCAAATGAAAGAAATAAAAATGTAAAAAAAATAAAAATTCAGAATTGTATAGTACGTGTACAGTGAAACAGCAAAGAGCTTTTTTACATTTTAGAGAAATCAAGTTGCGATACTGAACAGGACCACATGGAGATTCCAAAAACAGAAAGTTTTTACCAACCGCCTGCTGACTGCATATATCTACTACAGTACATGGATCCATTCAGAATAAATAAACACAGCAACATACAAATGACAAATCAAAACATTATCGTGAATGTGTGTGGAAACAACGAGAATGTATGTAAATGTCTGAGCCTGTGCATAAATACAATCTGCGATCAGTGCGTCAAGAGCACTCATACACACATTATTATAACGGAATCACGTGTGCTTATTGTGCGACTCCTGTACACCACCGCAATTGCCTTAACCTTGATTGCAGTCTTCATCCATCAAAACTTTACTAGTGAGACACTGGTTATCCAGTTGAGAAAACGTACACTGTAAAAAGAAATCTTAATTTTACGGAAAATAACGTCTCAGTTACGTATGGTAAGGGACAGCCCGAAGGGCAGGACCTTGTACTGGTATGCCCGCCCCCCGAACGCAAACCGCAGAAATGGCCTGTGGCGCGGAAGGATCTGAACATGGAAGTACGCGTCCTTCAGGTCGATCGCTGCGAACCAATCTTGGGGACGGATACACCTGAAGATGCATTTCTGCGTGAGAATCTTGAACGGGAGCCTGTGAAGGGCCCGGTTCAAGACGCGCAGACCCAAGATAGGTCTCAAGCCACCACCGGTTCGTCCTCCCGATCCGCCCACTGCTGCTCACTGGCGAGAGAGGAGGGTGAGTGTGATACGGCTCTGGCTCGTCCACAACCCCCCGTCCCCTCAGGGGACCCAGAGGTAGAAGAAATTGCTCTTCTGTCGAGTATTTGGGTACCACTGATCACAAGGTCAATGGCGGAAAAAAAGGAAACAAAAGATTCTCCGCCCGGCAACTCCGAGATGGTCATACCCCCGCAATGGGAGCATGAGTCATCCACGAAAGCCATCTCAGCGTGCTTCATGCCCAGACACGAGAGGCAGCGATCGTGACCATCACCCGGCGCCAGGTAACGACCGCACCCAGAAACACACGGATGGTACGACATCTTTAAAAAGACGCGTCTTTAAAAAGACGTTCCACCTGTGAAGCTCTTTTAGATGGAAATTGCTCTTTTAGTGTGCTGAAGCGCACAGGGGAGATGGCTGTCTGCAACACACACAGGGGTAGTGCAGCCTGTTGTGTGCAACCCACTCGACACGGGAAAACCACCGCCGCTGAAGCGCCGTACCACCAGCACGAGAGCTCACGAAGAACGTGCTTGACTGTAGTTCTCACTACCGTAGACTTAAGTCAGGAGCAGAACGATAGAACCGCTCGGCTCCGAAGCGAAAAGCTGAATATGCGCTGCATCTGCTGCCTACTTATACTCACGCTGTGATCAGCAGCAGCTGGATGCAATAATCGCATGCCAATGTGCATTGGCTCATTTAGTTTACAGTCGAAGTAGATTGGTCTCGCTAAGCGAGATCCCAATTCGTCGGTCATCCGACGTGACGTCGAGAGTGACCGACTGAAAGGGAACTGTTTTTTTCAGGTTGTTTTCTTTTATTTTGAATTGCAGTCAAAACTCTGTAAAATTATCTCTGAATTAACTACGTGGCTATTATTTTAAGTATTATGACATTAATGATAAATTACAGTAATTCACATTTTTTATACAGAAAAAAACTACTGTATTTTTATACAGTATGTTTTCTGTTTTCTTAAACTACAAACAAACGTATGTAAAATTACAAAAATAATCTGTAATTAATACAATAACAAAACCGTTAGATGATAAAATGGTCAAATGACTGGCAGCAACAGCTGCCAAACAAAAACCATACAATTAAAGTAAAATCTCCTTCATTTAAATAAGCTGAAAACACTGTAATTTTACAGGTATTTCCTACATTTTTATGATCAAACACCTTCACTGAAAAACGAAAGACAAAAAAAAAAACCGAATGACTGGCAGCACAGGGTGCCAGACAAAAACCTTACAATTAAAGTAAAATCTCCTTATTTAAACAAGCTGACAACACTGTTAATTTGCAGGCATTTCCTAAATTATTACAATCAAACACCTTCATTGTAAAATTAACTAATTCATTAATTAAACATCACATGACTGGCAGTAACAGAACATGAAACACTAACAGATCTCTCAGATCTCAGCATCTTCACTGAACAGTGTGTTCATTACAAATACACTGATTATTAAAACTACAAAAGTAATTTCCCTCTTTTCTTTTATCGTTAGATTAACTAATGAGACAGATGGCCTATATATTAAGACCTTCTGTAATGCATGGATCTAATATAATGTTACACATCAGATGGTTTTCCACAGCAGTTCCCCAAATGTTCACTTGAATAGGCTACTTACATAGGCTACTGTAATTCTGTGTACATGTATATTTATCAGGATCACGCACTTCGGATGACAGTCAGCGTGAGAAACGAGCGGAGAAAAGGTACTCCTCTCGGAAAACGTACAAATAACGATAATTTTAAATGTTTAATTGCTATTTGGAGCATTGGGATCACTAGACGAGGGTTTAATGAACTCATTTTTGTGATTTTTAACTTTTTTGCGTGTAGCTCAAAATTACCCCATGCATATTCTGACTCATTTTGCCAGCACATATGTTTCTTTGCAAAATAAACCAGCTTTATACATTGTGTTTGTTCTTTGTCGTATGATTATACTAACATAATACAATATGGTAAATGTGCTATCATAATTATAGAAAAAAAAAAAAACATCGCAAATTTTGCACAATTTTTTGGAAATTACCACCACAAGATCAGGCATTTTTATTGCAAAAATCATGGAAAAAAAAAATCTGAAATCCTGGAGGGACTGATAAATGAAGTCTAGAGAAGAGCATTTCGCGAAATATTAGACTAGGCTATATGCTCATTATATTTTACTTTCCCCTTTAGTGATGACTTAATTATTTAATGTTTAAATAAATCTATTATGAATCGAGTTATGAGAGGCCCTTTGTAGGCTAAATGAATATATTTCAATAACACATATATTTTTTTATAATTTAGAAGGTAATTTAAAAACTGCAATTTATATGTTTTCATCATTTTTTTTTAAGTTGAGTGTTGCGTGTTATATTTAAAAAAATAAATAGTAATTAAATTTAAGTAGCCAGCATAGTTAGGCCTAGTACAGTAGATATCATAAATGTTATGAAATCTTAACCCTTTTAATCCCAATTATTTCCTAGACATGAAAATATCCAAATGAGGTGTCATTAATTCCCCCCTTGAAATAATCAATATTTTTGGAAATGTTTATGGAAAAGTGTGTGAAAAATTGTGTTTTATGTTCGGTCACAATTGTGACCAGTGGGATAATGTGTATAAGTTACTGAAAATTCTTATATAACCTATATCAGCCCAGTTATTTAACACATTTAAAATCTTTCATGTCATTTTAGGGTTACTATTAAACATAAAAACCCTTATACAACACATAGGAATACTGAGATAAAAGACAAAAAAATAAAAATACAATGTTTTATTGCAGTGAACCATTTTAGTCGTCTATCGGGATCCTTAGGAATACGATAAAATGATGTTTTATTATTTGCTTTTCCAGCCTGAAGGATGAACAAGTCTATTGGTTTTGATCTGGTATTTTCAACCTATGAGTCGCTGGGCCCACGGAAATATGTATTGACTATTTGTATTTTTTTAATTTACTCAGTTGCAACCTTAGCAAACATATTTATAATGCTCGTCATCTACATAGAATCGAGTCTCCATAAACCAATGTATATATTTTTGTTTAACCTGATATGCTGCGGACTGCTTGGAAGCAGTGCAGTTTGGCCAAAGGTGCTTTCAAATCTCCTAACTGATTTGCACACTAGTTCATATGAGGGGTGTCTTCTCCAAGTCTATTTGCTTAGTATTTATGCTGCTTGCACTTACTCTACTTTAACAGTAATGGCCTATGATAGGTATGTATCCATTTGTAAGCCATTACAGTACCATAACATCATGAATCCTAGTAAAATTAAAATTTGGCTAATGTTAAGCAACTTAATTCCTGTTTTCTCAATAGCTGGTCACATTTATTTGACATCAAGAATTCCCTTATGAAGCCATACTCTTAATAAACTATTTTGTGATAACCTTTCTGTCATTAACATATCATGTGGTACGAGTAGCCTCAGCCTTGTAAGCAATGTGTATGGTTTACTTATAATAGTTTGTTTATCTGTGCTCCCTACATTTCTGATTTTGCTGTCTTATGCTAAAATACTTTCTGTTAGTTTAAAGGTCACAAAATAGTCAAAGCAAGGCACTTGGAACGTGCATTCCTCATTTGATAATATTCATAAACTATTCCATTGCCACAATTTTTTCTGTTATATATAACAGACTAACTGTGATTATGCCTAACGATATGAATGTCTTTATATCAGTCCAAGTAACACTGTTGCCACCACTTTTGCATCCAGTAATATATGGTGTTAGAACCAAAGAGATAAGAAAATGTACTGCTAAAATAACCCAGAGATTGTGTGCATCAACAATCTGTTATTATACTTCAAAACTTAGAGTACCTAAAATATTAGCAATTTCAGGATCTCTGTAAAATGCTTATTTTATACACAGCTTTATGTAAAACTATAGACAACCAAAGACATGATTAAAAGCAAATACTCTTGTACAATTTTTGTCTACTTTCATATTGTGTACAGAGTCTGCAGTGCAGTATGTGCAAATGATTCTAATGTGAATTATTTATTTATTTATTTATTTATTTATTTATACTGTATATTTTTTTCCCCAGAATTCTTTAATTAGTATGTGTCCATTTGGTTAAATGATAGCAGGACTCAAGCTGACATGTACACAACACCTGATGATATGTTGTCCAGCATGATTTGAGAATAGTCTTGTGCTTCAATGTAAGCAAGAACATCTGACCTTTGTGTAATGAAGTTCACATGCTGGATATACTTTTTCCAGGCTTACAGGGAAAAAAAATCATGATGTGTTCAAAACATTTCATTGTGGTCTCAGATTTTTGACCCCACTGCAAGTTCATTTAATTGATTTAGCATATGAATCTACATTTGTAAAATGTACTAATAGCAGCCTAAAAAAAATAAATAATAATAATTTCTACCATTACTTTGTGGCTAATATGGTCCGGCCATAGCTTTACCTGTTCAATTAGTTTTGTGACACTATTATTTTACTATATTTTAGAAGATAATAAAAAAGGCGCAATTTGTATTATTAGATGATCAGTAATGCACAAATGACAATGTAATTTATATTGAGTAGAGTAATTATAAAACAGAGCAATGTATAGATGCACAATTATTTCTAATTTGTTCAGCTCTCAAGTATTCAAATCTCCCACATCTCAATCATATCTAGCAAACATATGTTCTGATTAGTGGTGATTTGTCACCATCTAGTGTTATCTTTGGGTTGGGTTGTTCTTTTCATCAATCATGTTGAAAACAGAGACTTTTGAAAGAGACCCAAACTTAATTTCCTTTTTTTTTTATAGCAAATGTGTTCTTCCTCTTTCTCTTTGTTTAAGGTCTTTACATTAGGCTTTGAAATTTAGTAGCCTACCTCAGCTCTTACTTCTCACTGATAGAACATAATAAAGTAAATAATTCCGTATTGCCCCTAATGTTACCTTTTTAAAGCTTAAATCACTGGTATAACGGAGATTCATTTAATGTTTTAATTTTTTTTTGTTTTTTTTGGTCTGACAGAAGATTTCTATATAAAAACTCCCATACAACTCCCAGAGCAAAGCTTCATTAGCCTTGTTTTAGTAAATGCAGTAGCATAATATTGTCCACAAGATAGAGCATTTGTATAAGAAATACTAGCCTACACCTATAGCCTAATATAATGTATGTCCAAAAAATTGTTTTTTTTGGCTCCTTTTATCTAAACTCTGCACATAAAACCACAAAATATGCACACAAGATGCAAAACATTATGCATCTCTTGCAAAAGCAAACACTTTTTTGAAAAACATCTTATAAAAATTGTTTTTGCATAGTAACTTTACATACAAACATCAAATGATTAGCCATACACACTCCAAATTACATGTATATGACAAATGTAAAACACTGTAATTTTTATATTTTGCATGGTCAGTATGCAATGGAGTGTACACTGGAGTTTGTCATAGCACTCACACATACAGTACATGTATGTGCACAAATACTGTATATACAGTATGTAGTTATACATATTCAGTATTCAGTATATAGTTTCTCTGTGAACAAATAAGAGGGCGGACATCATTTCATTCTCAAAACGTATTTTTATTGTGTTTAACTTTGGGATGAATAATAATAATAATAATGTGCATCATATCTTCTATTTGGGTCTGGCCACAACAACTCATCAACATCACAAGCAATGTTTTCTCTGACTAATCAGTGCGGGAAGTAGCATCTGGAGTGGCGTATCCAGCCCTGGCATGGAGAAGGGGTATGCATTGGTGGGGTTGGGGATCATATACCTTTCAACGCCATGCTGAAAAGAACTCGTCAACTGGGTTCAAAATGGGAGAATATAGTGTCAGGTTGAGCGTCAAAACTTGCAGAAATTTGATGACCCAGTTGCAGACCAGAGCAGCTCGATGGAACCTTACATTGTCCCAGATGATAACAATGTTGTCTGGATCTCATCTGTGATTTTTATCATCTGTACTCTTCCTTTTTGTACTCCTCGTCCTCTTCTTCTTTGTCCTCTTCCTCTTCCTCGTCCTCTTCTTACTCTCACTTAACTCTCTCTCCAAAATGGGCCTCAATTGTTGTCCAAACCAAGAGAGTTATCCTGCAGCTTATTTATAGTGCTCAAGCTATTATTTCTAGGCAAATTAGGTAGAAGTGTCTTCACACATAATCATTGGGTGTTGGTAAAAATTAAATAAGTGTGGCATTTAAATAGCAGTGTTTCCCAAATTAAGCACTGTTAGTTTTGAATAATGTGTCTTATGTAGAGAACTGTGTTTGTTTTTGTTTTTTTTGTTATGTAAACTGAGTGTAAAGTAGATGTGCTTGCAGTTTCACAGACCTGGTCTGAAGATTCAGTATATGAATGGTTTCAATGTGTGTGCCTCAAGTATTAACCATGGTTTTGTTGTGTGTTCAACATGGGTTAGAGTAGGCCTGTAAGACACTGTGCCTACAGAATTCAAATGACTGTCATTCACAATTTAACTGTTTGAGACCGCTCTGTACATTTTGTATGTATGTCTTATTACTTCAGACATTTGTTCTATTTGACCATAAGTGCCTGTGAAGTGGACATCACAGGATATTCCACCATTATTCCAGTTTGAAGTGAGCGTATTTGTTCCATTCAAATGGTATTAAAGTGTGTGAGACGTGAATTTAAATTGTATGTATATACAGAGGTATATTATGTCACACTTCACACTTCTCAAGTAAGTTTTGTCTGTGTGTGAAGATGCTGCAGGCCGTGGCGTTGCGTAAATAATTGAATTAATGTTTCGAAGTGAAGTAAACTTTAACGGATTTCCCGTGCTCAGGGAGTAGAGAGCAAAGATCACTGTAGGGACCATGCCAATCAGAACACAGCTGATGATCTGAATCAGGTGTGTTGGTAACACTTTATAATAACTTTCATTTATAAATCATTAACAAACATTATATAATGCTTAACAGATCATTAGTTAATATATATTCACATAGCTAGAAATATGAGATAATGTTCTTGTTGATGTTTACAAATGAACTTACTAAACATTACCTAATTACTAACATATGATTATTTAATGTAAATTGAAAAGCTTACAAATGTCAGTAAACTTTCAGTTCATATGTTCTTCATTTGTTGGTCTTTGTTTGTTGTGTAGACTTCTATTTGCATATTAACAAATAATATATTAATTATTTGTTCATGTTTTTGCAGTACCCAATTTAAAGTGGAAACTATTCATCATTTGCAAATGTTTATAAATGTTTACTAATCATTAATACCTTTATGAGCAGTCATCTCAATGACAAAAAGTGTCCCGAAAGACCTGAATTTACCCTATTCACACATCTTTTCTAATCATGTATTAATCATTTGTTCATGTTTTTGCAGTACTCAATCTAAAGTAGAAACTATTTATAATTTGTAAATGTTTATAAACGATTACTAATCATTTACTATCTTTATGGTCATTGGACTTTTAGCTAATGTAACAAGGTTTGTGTAAAGGGTGGCTGGTTAAGTTTAGCTAAATGCTTGCTAAAGACATAACAGATTGCAATTTTGGTGCAAGAAAATATGTTTTTATTGGCTCAACACTCACATTAGTATACTACTCCATATACAGTATACTACTCCATATACAGTATCTCACAGAAGTGAGTACACCCCTCACATTTTTGTAAATATTTTATTATATCTTTTCATGTGACAACACTGTGACACTTTGCTACAATGTAAAGTAATGAGTGTACAGCTTGTATAACAGTGTAAATTTGCTGTCCCCTCAAAATAACTCAACACACAGCCATTAATGTCTAAACCGCTGGCCACAAAAGTG